TCTTCAATATGGTTCACATCCTTAGGGAAAAAAAAATCGCCATGGTTCCATCTTCATAGCCCGTGCCCCCCCCCCCCTTTTTCTGGGGAGAGAAGGAATACAAGGAGCTGTAGGTGGGTGGGAGGGGCATGTGGAATGTGAAGAAATAGCAGAGAACGTAGTGTGTCTAGAGAGAAAAAAGGGAGAAGGTAACTTCGACACAGATAAGCAAAACAAGACACTCCAGCAAGAGGCTACAGTTTTGGGTTCCTGATGTAGAACTGACTCATTTTAAATCTCCAGAATTCAGGCTGAAGGAGAACAACCGCATCTGTCTCTTCTCAAATTATTTCATTTACCAATACTACCTTCTTTTGTCTTCAGACTGTGAACTGCCAGTGCTTTGTGCTTCATCCTTATAATTATACACATTAGTGCTGAAAGTTTCCTCAGAGACCATGTAGACAAGGGATAGCACCTTGTGTCATGGCTGGTCAATGAGAAGTGTGGTTGAAGCTCTGTGTTGAGAAGGGATCCGAGGCCCAGTCTGTGCTCAGTTGGGAGGGTGCTGGGATCCATTAATTCTGGGATCAGCTAATGCTGTCTGCACGGGGCTGGGATGGGGCTGAGAGGGAATAATCTAAGTGGCACCATCCAAGCTAAGAGCATGAGACTCTCATTTAATTTGGGAGGGGGGTGGTGGGACTCAGAGACATCAAACCAGTTGCCAAAAGCCACAGAGCTATTTATTTTTTTAAAAAGTTTCAGGATTAGAAAAAGAATGGTGATTTCGAGGATTAACCATCCTGAAAATAAATTAGCATTTAGGATTGAAAATAAATCTTCCTGAAGCCTTTTGTTAGATACTTTATCCACATTGCTGGGCGCTCTGATGGGTCCTCTGCAGAGCCAAGCATGCACAAAAGCCTGGGGCCCATCTCACCGATTTCAGAGGAGTTTCAAAGTCTATAATATCAGAGGCTGACTATTTCTTCTAGGAGAAATTTTTTCGTAGTGCTTGGATGAAGGGATAAAGAACTACGAAGAGATTTTAAAGTGTTATTTGCTTAGGATAATGGACATTTATTTGAATTTAACTTCAGAATCTTTTACATGACAGCTCACTTAACATCACTTTTTAAAAGTTCTTTTTACAGTCTATTGAATAAAAGTCCACGATGGGATTTGGACATGGCTTTAACTAATCACGGAAGCAGACAGGAGTCTCCTTTCCAGAATAAATAGCATATTATAGCAAATCCAAGTAAAAGACTTAAATCCCTCATCAGAGCCAAGCTGTGGTGACCTGCTTTGAGGGAACTTGGGCCTCCAAACCTCTCTCCTTACTTGCCTGAGAATTTACTATTAAACATTCAGAAGTTCTTTTTTTGAAAATACTAATATTCTTGGGTGATATGCCATTTCAAATTCGTTGTTAGTTAATAATGAACAAAGAAGGAAAAGCTAGCGGTGAGGGGAAGGGATTTGTTACTATCTGTGGGAGAAGAGAAGGGAGTGGGAGAGATAATGGTCCCCAGACAGTAGCTACAGAAGTTTTGCAGCCCAAAGATGGAGTTCATTGTCTCAAGACTCCTTCTGACTCCAGAATGTTCAACTGACCTTAGGCCTTAGCTACCTGAAGACACAATCAAGTAGCTGGAGAAAACCAGCCTCAGAAATAAGCTCTCAAGATGCCTTTGGAAAACAGAAAAGAAAGAAGAAAAACAATGTAAGAAAGTGTAGGAGTGCCTCTCCTTCAACATTCCTGAGAGAAGATGGGAGTTGAAAACCTCAAACAAAATGTTTGCCCCATCTCACTTGGCTAATTTTAGTTATCTTGGTTCATGGCTATGATTCATCCCTAAAGCTGTGAATTGCTGAGGAGGAAGGAGGAAAAAAAATGGACTTAAATGTCAAAGAAGTAGGAACAAAAATATAGTTTTCTTTTTTGGGGAACTAGAATTCCAGGATATGGGGATCTTTTTTCTTATGAGGGATGGAATACTTCGAACTAGAAAAATAATGAGCTCCAGTCAAAACATCGTCAAGAAAGAAAAGAATGGATCATGAGTTATGTCACGTCCGAATTTTTGTTTTCCTAGTGTATTCCCCTTCTTTCCCTCGTGTACCTCTTGAAATCTCATTAAACTAGACATCGCTAAGACACCTATGTTGTTGAGTATGATGGAAGCTTAATATGTGGACCGTAAGGGGAAAGGGAGCTCCTGGAGCAGATGAGGGAGAAATGAATGGAGACAAACAGACTATGACAAATAAGTCTGGGGGAGGTGATGGTAGCACAGGGAAGAAAGGCGTGTGTGAATGACGGTGAACTGTTGTCTTGCCTACTAAAGAATAGAGGGTGACAGAGATGGTTTGGTGAAGCTCCATCCTTAGAAAAGAAGAGACATTTTTCAGTGTAGTAGGTGTCCCCTAGTAAACTGGGTACCATTTGGAATTTCCATAGGTTTGGAGGGAGAAAAGCACGGTCACTACTCTGATACTCAGGTACCTGACCTTTCTACCATCAGTTTAGCCTCTATCTGTGGGTTCACCTTTTTCTGCTCTTCAAACTTCTGAACAGTAAAATATATATATATATAGGATGGTTGTAAAAACAGGCTCCAGGACATTAAAGGAAGATAACATCAGGTGGAAGCAAAATGAAAGGGTTCCAGTGACTTCAGAGCACATTCCCCACAGCCCTGAAGCTAATACGGAGATGGGTCCACGACTCAATGGTGAAAGTTGATTTCTGCGCCTCCCCTGTCCTCAGCCCCCTTAGAGCACTCCCCGCACCCTCCCCTGTGGCTCTGCTCTTTTCTGTTCTCCTCTTCCCTGGTAGGACTCGAGCAGCAGGACTCATTGTATCTCATCCCCCACGACCCAAAGCGTCATGCGTCTGATGTGACATGCATCCCAATAGGTAAATGAATGGGATATAAAGGGGGTGGAAGGGACTCTGGAAGTCGCAGAATCCCACTGCTTGGTTTGCATTTGAGGATACTGAGATCTTGAGGGTGCAAGTGAATTTCTTGCCCAAAGCATCCCCGTTTTTTTGCATCTTCTAGAAGATGTCAGTTAGCACCACGGCTGTGACTACCTTTGATTGCCTCTAGGGGAGAGATATTCTAAAGTTCACAGAAGATACTTCCCAGAAGGTTCCTTGGCCCCCCCCCCCCA